GGGCTCTACTCGTGTGGGTTATATCGCGCTTGGTTCGGACCAATCCGCTCACAAGACACGCCCCGCGGGGTATACGGGTCGCAAATGCACCATGGCCTGACTACAGGAGCCGGTTCATGGGTTGCGGGGTGTTTTTTGTGCCGGTTTGGTTTATTTTTGTTCCCTTTTTTAGTTTTTTGTTGTTTTATGTTATTATATACAAAAAGAAGTTGCCATGTAATCTCTGTAAAGAAAATTAAGAGCGTTTAGATCACTACAACTAATGATATGAACGCTCCTATATTTTTTAGAGGGGGTATTACACAAAGGTTAATTGTGTGCAAGCAATATATAGTATGGTTAGGTAGCAGGTAAACTCGAGGTAAGGTAGATTAAAAAGGATTAGGAAACAAACCAAATAAAATCGAGCAAAATCCGAACTGAATCGGGCTCCTGGTGCACGCAACGGCAAACCTCCGTAAACACCGCTGCCGCCGATCTCCCTAGGGATTCCTTCGGCGCTGGATCTGCCCGCTGTCGCCGATCTTCCCGGGGACTCCTTCGGCGCTGGATTTGCCCGCCGCCGCCGATCTCCCTAGGGATTCCTTCGGCGTTGGATCTGCCCGCTGCCGCCGATCTTCCCGGGGACTCCTTCGGTGCTGGATCTGCCCGCTGCCGCCGATCTCCCCGGGAACTCCTTTGGGCTGGATCTGCCGCCCGCCGTCGATCTTCCCGGGGACTCCTACGGCGCTGGATCTGCCCACCGCCACCGCCCCGGGGCCTCCTCCGGCGCTGGATCTGCCCGCCGCCGCCGATCTCCCTTGGGCCACCTCCGGCGCTGGATCTGCCCGCCCCCTCCGGTGCTGGATTTGCCCGCCTCCTCCGGCGCTGGATCTGCCCGCCGCCACAAGCACGCGCACTCCACGGAAAAAGCCTCTCCTCCTCAGAGCACGAGACGCGCGTGCGAGGCGACGAAACCGAAGGCGGGCATGGGGGGAGGCAATCGCTTGCACGAGTTGGAGGGTGGGGGAACGAGATAATATGAAAAATCTAGACCTTACCTAAACAAAGGGCTCTTTTGATGCGCATGGAGTTTAATGTGGTTTCAATTATCGCATAATAGTAACTGAAATGACGTGTCTAGGCCAATCCGCTCGTAGGACGCCCCCACCCCTACCGAGTATATGTGTCGCAAAAGCTATTTATCACCTATCACGGGTGTGCATTATGGCATGACTAGAAGAGCCGGCTCGTGGGTCGCGCAGCCCATGAGGCGGTTATTTTTCAGCCGTTTCGTGGATCTTGCAGCCCATGAGGCAGTTATTTTTCATTCTTTCCATGCAAGCTTGCTTCGAGGGAGTTGGTCGAGTGTTTTTTGTACCAGTTTGGTGCGTGTTTTTGTTCCCATTTTTGTTTTATGTTATGTAAGTTTCATTTTCATTTCTTCATTGTGTTTTTTATTTCCAGTTTTCATTCTTTTCTTTGTTCTTTTTTATGCCCATCATGTACAAAATGTGCGGTCTTTTCCAAAAAAATTGCCATGTATTATATAAAGGTTCATTGTGTACAAGCAGTATATAAGAAAGGTTAGGTCGCAGGTAATCTCGCGATAAGGTAGATTAAAAATGATTAGGAAACCAACCAAATAAAATCGAGCGAAATAATCGGGCTCCTGGTGCACGTGATGGCAAACCTCCTTAAACACCGTCACCGCCGATCCTCTTCCCGGGCCTCCTCCGGCGCTGGATCTGCCCGCTGCCACAAGCATGCACACTCTATGGAACAACCTCTCCTCCCCAGAGCACGAGACACAACGCGAGGGAGAGGCAATCGCTTGGAGGAGTTGGATGGTGGGGGAATGAGAGAATATGGGAAACCTAGACCTGACCTAAACAAAGGACTACTTCTGATTTCCATGGAGTTGCGCGCATAAGAGCGTACAAAGGTAGGATGTGTTTAATGCTATCCAAATTATCGCATAACAATAACTGAAATGACGTGTCCGGGTCAATCCGCTCAAAAGACACGCCCCATGGACTACACGGGTCGCAAAAGCTATTTCTCGCCTATCACGAGTACGAATTATGGCATGACTACAGGAGCCGGCTCGTGGGTCACAACCCATGAGGTAGTTATTTTTTCATTATTTCCACACAAGCTTGCTTCGAGTGAGTTAGTTGGGTGTTTTCTGCCTGGTTTGGTATGTGTTTTTATTTTCGTTCCCTTTTTGGCTGTTTGTTGTTTTATGTTATGTAAGTTTTTCTTTTCATTTCCTCGCTGCATTTTTTCTTTTCCCATTTTTATCCTTTTCTTTGTTTTTATTTATGCCCATCATGTACAAAATGTGCAGTCTTTTAAAAAAATAACATCTATTAAACAAAGGTTCATTATGTACAAGCAGTATATATAAGAAGGTTAGGTCACAAGCAATCTCCAGATAAGGTAGATTGAAAACAATTAGGAAACAAACCAAATAAAATTGAGCAAAATCCGAACTGAATCGGGCGAACCTCCTTAAACACCGCCGCCGCAGCCGATCCTCCCTCGGGGCCTACTTTGGTGTCGGATCTGCACGCGGCCACAAGCACACGCACTCCACGGAACAACATCTCCTCCCCGAAGCACGGGACATGGGGCGAGGCGGCGAAAACTGAAGGCGAGAGCGAGGAAGAGGCAGTCACCTGGAGGAGTTGGAGGGTGGGGGACGATACGATATGGAAAACCTAGACCTGACCTAAACAAAGCACTCTTATGATGTGCATGGAGTTTCGCGCATAAAAGCACGGAAAAAAGTAGGATGTGTTTAATGCTATCTCAGTTATCACGTAATAGTAACTGAAATGACGTGTCCGGGTCAATTCGCTCACAAGAGACGCCCCATGGACTACACGGGTCGCAAAAGCTATTTCTCGCCTATCGCGTGCATTATGGCATGACTACAGGAGCCGGTTCGTGGGTCACAACCCATGAGGCAGTTATCTTTCATTATTTCCACACAAGCTTGCTCCGAGTGAGTTTGCCGGGTGTTTCCTGACTGGTTTGTTGTGTGTTTTTATTTTTGTTCTCTTTTTGGCCTTTTGTTGTTTTATGTTATGTAACTTTTTCTTTTAATTTCCTCATTGCATTTTTTCTTTTCCCTTTTTTATTATTTTCTTTGTTCCTTTTTCTGCTAATCGTGTACAAAATGTTCATGGTCTTTTATTTTATTTTATTTTGCAAATTCTATGAAGCTTCTAGAACTGATGAACTTTTTTTTTCAAAACTTGCATAACTTGACCTAGCCAATTCTATGAAGCCTCTAGAAGCTTCCAATTTTTTTTCCAACCTGTTGATTCAAAAACCAGCTGGATTCCTTATCTTTGATTCATGAACTTTTTTTTCAAAACTGATGATCTTGTTTTAAATACAAGAACTTTTTCCAAAATTTGCGAATTTTTTTTGAATCAACGAACTTTTTATAAATTCGTGATTATTTTCAAAATGCAGGTTTTTTTTCAAATTCCATGAACATTTTTCAAATTCGTGATGTTTTTCCAAAATTGATGAAAAAAATTTAAACATGAATTTTTTTGTCAATATCCATGAACTTTTCTTTCAAAATTATGAACTTTTTTAGAATTTGTGATTTTGTTTCAAAATCCATGTTTTTTCTTCAAGATCGTGTTTTTCCTAAAAAAATGAATTTTTATTAAACGTGAGATTTTTTTTGTCAAAATCCATGAACTTTTCTTTCAAAATTGTGAACGTTTTATAATTCTTGTTTTTTTTGCTAAATCCATGAGCTTTTTTCAAGTTTGTGTTTTTTTGGCAAAGTTGATGAACTTCTTTAAAACAGAAGATTTTTGTGAAATCCGTGGATTTTTCTTTCAAATTTGTGAAATTTTTTAGAGTTTGTGATTTTTTTCTAAACCCATGAACTTTTTTCAAATTTATGATTTTTATTCCAAAATCGATGAACTTTTTGTAAACATGATATTTTTGTCAAAATCTATTAATTTCTTATAATTCATGTTCTTTTAATATCCATAAATTGGTTTGGCAAAATCGATGAACTTTTTGAAACACAATTTTTTTTGTCAAAATCGGTGGACCTTTCTTTTCAAGATTGTGAACTTTTTGAGAATTCGTGTTTTGTTTTCAAAATGAATGAACTTTTCCAAATTCCTGAACCTTTTTGCCAAAATCGACGAACTTTTTTCAAAATCAACGACCATTTCAAAATTCCCAACCTTTTTTTAGAATTCATGAACTTTTTTGAATTAGAGAACTTTTTTTCGTATCCACTGAATCTATTTGGTCAATTGTTTGTTTTAAAGCAGCAGCTGGTGTATAGCGTACACGGCGCAAGATGAGCGATCCTTTTTGTAGCGAACGTTTTGGGCCATGGCCCACTAGGATGGCGGACAGGCGCCAGTGCTCCTAACGAGCGATGAAGAAGCCGATTATACTACTGTTCAGTGTGGCAATGGAAAAGAAGTCCTCAAAGGGGGCAACGCAAAGTACTCCCTCCCTTCCTAAATATTTGGCTTTTTAGAGATTTCAAATGGTTATCACATACGGATGTATATAGACGTATTTTATAGTGTAGATTCACCCATTTTGCTCCGTATGTAGTGAGAGTTCAACCATGACATGAAGCATCATCACACACACACACATATATATATATATATATGCAGATAAAAGCAATAAGCTAGTCAAGTTCGATCCAGCAGTGGACAGCATAACTGTGTGTTGCAAAGACCTGACCTGCAGGTCTGTGACCAAATTTCTTTCTTCCCAGTGCCTACCTGATACTGCGCAGCCCAATAAACCCTGGGTTTCCTCCCATCCCATCGAATGATGATGTTGCTTTGCTTGCTCTAACTATATATACACCACCCACACACACACACGAACGCACACGACCATGTGTCAACTAATTACATTATTGATCGATCAACCGATTGACTGACGGGATTGATAAACCTAAGCGACCAGCCGAGGCGCAACTGCAGTAGCCGAACGGAACCAGGCTCGAATCATGCCGCCCTCATCTTCTCGCCGAGCGTCTGCTGGACGAGCCACAGCACCGGGTTCCCCAGCGCCGGGATCAGGCTCATCGCCACCAGAGGGACGGCGGCGCATGCAAACACCCACGGCCAGAGGTTGCTGTTCGCCGCGGCGTGCTTCGTGGGCATCGGGGGCCTGAACTTCTCCAGCCCTTCGTGCAGGTCCGGGTGGTCGCGGAACAGCAGCTGCAGCTGCACAGCAACACATGTGTACAACGTTAGATTGGTTCAAAGAGAGGGTACAATGGCACTCGTAGTTTCATACTGTTTGGTAGGCCTCCAGCTGGGACAGCTCCGTCCTGCCCAGGATGTCGAACAGCGACAGGTACAGCATGTAGTTGCGAGCCTGAAACAGAATGAACTTATTGATCAAGGTTTGACTGAAGGTGAATTGGAAATTTTACTCGTTTGCTGAAAGTGGTAATGCAACTAAACTTTTAGTCGAAAAACAGAATCTAAACAGAGTCCGATCCAGTGTTACACGGAGGGCATCAGGTTCCTTTTGTTAACAGCAAGAATAAACGGCATGAGATTCTGATGCAGACAAGAGGTTTGATCCAGAGAGACCCAGACCGTAAGTTCACTAAGTTGGCTAAGAATAGTCTAGTTCTTCCCTAATTTTTTTACGAAGAATAGTCTGGTTCTTTTTCTTTTCAAAACTGTCTAGAATCACCAAAAGAGTGTGTAATCATATTCCTTATGACAGTACCAAAGGTTTGTGACTGAACTAACCCATGGCCTGGCATTCTTAATGCCCACCCTCCCAGTTTTTGTTGCATATTCTAGACCTATAGAACTCACCTGAAAACAGTTAAGCAACAGAATAGAGTTCCGCACTTCTACTACTTGCTAAGTGTGGTCTGTTCATACTTGACAACTATACGAACTGAGGCATCCATCAGGATCTCACAATGGGGAGTTGTTCCAAGCGTAATTCGACATACATCAAGAAATGAAACAAGGTGAAGTAGTGATGCAAGACTCACACTATAACCAGAAGGATATAAATCATGCAACAGCATACATAAATAAATAAAGTGTTGGAACACAGGAACTCACCTTCACTTTCTTGACAAATCTGAGGGACTCTTCAAAGGTCAGCGGCTCCGATTTAGATGTCACAGCCCCAAAGAACACCGTCGCCCTCGACTCTGCCGGAAACGTCTCATCTGCTCCAGGCATAGTGGCTCCGTTGCCTCTGTGATCCATAAGAAACACCAATTACCATGATTGCAGACACACACTTAGTACATGACAACCAGTCTCAACTCTCAACTCTGAACTAGAGCCACAAGTACTGTATAGCTAGGCCCTGAGCTGCATACATATATACAACCAATAGGAAAAAGGCGAGACAGCATCAACCACACGAAACGCCGTCGATTGTTCAGCCATCATTGTTCAAGTGATACCCAAAACCCACCAGACTGGTGTAGGATTCCAGTAGTACTCTACATGCCAACCGAAACGGCCACCAGACTAGTGTGGAATTTCAGTACATGCCAACCGAGACGGCCACCAGACTGATTACGATAAGCACCAACAGCATACGCTTTTTTTTTTATCTTCAATGGCGTAAGGGGCACTCTGCCTATCATAGAAAGATGAACAGTTTGCGTCGATTTTACAATTGATCGACTGATTTGGGGATGAACCAATGGACTGAAAACTATACTCCAGCACCAAAGAAATTACAGTAAGTTTTGAGAGGGGGCAAATTGTTCTTCCTAAGAGCGGACAGTGACTCAGCAAGTGACAGATTGATATCATATCCAGCAGGAAACTCGAGATGAACTACAGGAAAAACAGAGGACTGAAATGTCTCCATCCACGGGCCAGGAAGCGAATTCGGACGGGGGGAGAGATGAGTAAAAAGAGAGGAGGAATTGCACCGAGGAGCGTTGAGGATCTCCGAATGCCGACGGCGCCACGGAGGAAGAAGCTCGGCAGGAAACGTTCCCTAAATAGACATACTGCAAGCTACGGCTGAATATACATACTGCAGCCCAGGAAACAAATCCAGCTTCTGGAACGAAAGGGGGTAAAAAGAGAAGGGGAAACCTCTGCGCGCCGGAATGGCTGCAGCCGGCTCCGGCGACGGCGAGAAGGGCACCTCGGGAACGAATCGGGCGGCCGGCTACGGATGAAATGGTGGGGGCGTTCGGGGCGGGGAGAAGGGAGGCGCGCACGCACCTCTCGCCGAGACGATTGGGAGCAGGAATCGGGGTCCGGGGCCTCCTCCGGCCTGGGCTCCGTCTGCTCGCCGCCGCCGCCGCCGCAAGACGCGAGCTTGGAATATTCGGGCGGGGGGGCGGTGGGAGGGGGGAGGGGAAAGGGAGGAGAGGAAGCGGTGGGGGATCCCGTCGTCGGCCCGGCGCACATGGGTAAAGCGTTGATGTGACGTTAACATGTGGGTCCAGGCATGGTGCACCGACGGGGTGGCCCGCGTGTCAGTGAGAGCGGTGGAAGGTTTCTGATAATTGTTATCCGATGGGGTCAACGAGGGAGTGGGAACAGGTCAGGCGGGCCCCCTGCTACGACGACGGGGCTATTGGGATCGTGAAAGCATCCGGCCCAGGCCCATCATTGGGCTGCGGCTCAACCGGCAAAGCCCAGGTGCCTGTTAGCATTTGTTTCTTGTGAGTTGTGTGACTCGAATTAATTCGCCTTTGGGTGCTGATGAGCCAGGAAAATCCTGCTTGCCTCGTAGGTAGTGAAATCCCTATCTGCAGCTCTTTGCCGCAACGTACGGCTGCTTCGCGTTGGCGAGCCAACAAATGTTTGTGCTTTAGAAAAATGTTCACAATATCAAAATTTGTTCATGTGTTTCACGAAAACGTTTGAAAATTTAAAATTTTCTTCGTGTTTTGTAAAATATATAGCAGAATTTGAATTTTTTCGGTTTTTTTTCCAAACATGTTTTGTTTTGAAAATAGATTTAAGTTCACCAAAAAAACCCATTTAAAAAAATGCATACTGCAATAATTGATTTGGCATGCTAAAGTCTCCGTCTACAATATTAAGGTGGTGCAGCACTACATCGCTTGAATGGGGCGACGAGGTTGCCCCTGTACGGCTCGCTGCTGTTGGATGCAGCAAGCGTCGCATAGGAGGTCCCGCTCGATAGCCAACAAACATGTACCTCTCTGATCCCTATGCACAAGTAGACTTCTCATGTACACCCCCTCTTCCCGTTTTGGAGGGGTCCCAAAACCATTCGAGACTATTTTTATTTTATTTTTTCTTTTTTTTAAAAAAACTTTTCACAAATATTTTTTAATACCGTGAACAATGTTTTACATATAGAACAGTTTTGAAATTTTTTAGATATTATTTTATTTTCTCAACTTTTTTTGTATCCATGAATTATACTAAATCTGCGAATATCTTTCAAATTCATGTCCATGTTTTTTTGAATCCACGAATTACATTAAATCTGCGAATTTTTTTCAAATTCCTGAACAAGTTTCTTTTTTGAATTCATGAATATTTTTGAATTCATAAACATTTTTAAAAATTCATTAATATATTTTGTATTCACAAACATTTTTTCAAATAAGTGAATTCTTAAAAATTGGTAGATCAACAGACGAATATAAAAGACTTCTAGAAAACCAGATAAAAAACGAATAGAAAATATCACATGATCTTTACCTTTTTTTTTAGGGTAACATGAGTTGTACTAGTCAAAAAGAGCGATATGGGCCAGCTCAGAAGACAGCCACGTGGGCGTCCGGGTTGCATTTTTGCGTAACAACCGGCGCCCTGTGCGCTAAATAAGAGGTCTCGATGGGCCAGGCCATTTCGGCAAACAGGCGAGGTACCTGAAAAAATGGCATGTCCTAAACGGCGCCTTAAGCGTCCGTTCCTACCTCTCTCTCGCAAACAGGCGCACATCCTTTCCTCCACGCTGGGCCAGCCCATCTTCCTTTTTTCTTCTTCTGTTTTTAACAGACAAAAAACTGTGCGACGGTTGAGTTTCAAACCGGCGACCTCCTGCTCTTACTAGAGATGCACTAACCACGCCACCGACAACACCTGGCATGTTCAGTTCATCTTTGATCTTTTTTGCTTCTTATCTTCTTTCTTCCCTTTTCTCTATTTTTACTTTATTTTGCTGTTCCTTTTTTATTGGAACTGCTTTGTTCATTTATTATTTTTCTTTTTTGTTTGTTCTCTTTTGCTATATTGGATGAACCCTTTTTAAAAAACTCTGACACTTTTTAAAATCGAGGAACATTTTTCAAAATCAATGAACTTTTGTTCAAAATCAATGAACTTTATTTTTATAATAGATAATCTTTTTTAAAAATTGGTGAACCTTTTTAAAATTTGAACAGACTTTTTCCAAAATCTCTTAACTTCTTCTTAAAGTCGGTGAACTTTTTTCTGTTTTTGTGAACAATTTTTGAAAATCGATGAACTTTTCCTGTACAAATGATAAACCTTTTTCC